TTGAGAAGGACCTTCTATTATGGATGGCCGTAATGGCCGTAATGGAGAATTTCCCAATTTCCAAGGTTTGGAAATTGAGATGGACCTTCTATTATGGATGTCCGTAATGGCCGTAATGGAGAATTTCCCAATTTTCGGGCTTCTGAATAGAGCTCTATGTGCGGATCTATTCATTTTATTGAGATTTCTTTAACACTGCTTGTTTGCGGAATGTATTTTGGTTGGAGATTGAGACATATAGCGTTGAGTTGAGGGACTTGCAGTCTTAGCAGCAGTTTTACTTAATCTCTATATGACGGACGTGAAATAGTCATTTGGCTTTTGATGCTAGCTTTCGGTTACAGATGTGTAGCAGGTCATCTGCTGTTTTTGGTTATGGAATAGTGTTTTTCTAGTTGTTTCACTTCTGCTTGCGGTAGCTTAAGTAATTTACGCAATTTCCCCCCTCTTTTCTTTCTTGTTGATATTTTGCTGCCGTTGTTCTGGTCGAGAAAACTCAAGCGAGGTTTTCTTGAAGATCACTAAAGTATTCGGTGATTCAGCGAGTCGGCTTATAAGAACTATTGTTTTTTATTTGATGTTCAATTGCATTCAGTTACTTCTGGATGTAATTCAAATGATTAGACTTCAATTGCTCTTTCAAATCATTATATCCTTAAAAAAGGCGATTTTATGATATAGTTGATGAATTTTAGTGTTCTTCTTCTGAAGATTCGTCGATTAGAAAGAGCTTATCTGGACATTGGAGAAAAATAAGATAAAAGAATGAATATATCTCGAATGCCAGTTTTCACAATTCTCTTTAAAACAGTTATTTCTATCTACAGATCCATTTTCTATTTACGTTATTGAACTGCGGACATTGTTTAGATGTCGGAAAAGGAAATATTTATATATTTTTCTTCAAAATTTGAGCATTCAAATAAGAAATCTCTCTTCGATATCTTCATCAACTAACTATAGATCTCCGAAGATTGTCAGAGTTTTCTTTGTTAGCAAAATTTCTTTTCTCGTGGAATTCTGAGATGAACTAATTGTGTTTAATTATGCATACAGTCCTACCTTCAAGCTTTTCTGAAGGGAATGAGGTTAACATTAACGTGAAATTCTTTCTTTTTGTTTCGATATAAATCTTTGTATTCATCAGAAAAGAACGTATTCATAATGTTAGCATTGATTTGATAAAAATTCGAGACAAATTCAAATTTGATTCAAATTTATGAATTTTTCAACAGATTCTGTCGTTCGATCATCGTAAGCTGATGATGTACTCAATTTCGATGTTCACATTGAATACTTCTCGTCAGTGATGAAGACGACGTTGATGAGGGTAATGTCGATGTCGGTTTATTACATTTACTGATGTATTCAGGTATTGTTGATAGTGCGTGACCGGGCTCGATATGATCTAAACCATCAAGTAATAGTGTATCTATGAAAAGTTTAAGAAATCTTTTGCATTGGTACTTACCTTCATTTTTGGCATCAAGGCCGAATGCAATGGTTCATCGATATATAACATGTTATTGGTATCATCTGGATTGAACAGACTTTCTTTTCGTGTGTTTGATTTGACTTTGATCTTTGGATACCGTCATTAACTGGCGAATCATTGTTTTCGCCCGAAAAAGAAAACAGTTCGTCGAAATTCTTTCAGAAATATTTGTTTGATTGATATTTCTTATACTACTGGCTAATAACAGTTTGTTCAAATATTGAATTTAAAAAACTGACGAACTTAGTGCATTATCAAAATGTCTTCGAACTAAAATTACTCAATAATGAACGTTATGAGATCTATCAACAGCTTTTTGATCGTCTCCCATTCTCAATTTCTCCATCTGTCATTTTCAACGATAAATTGTATTCGAAACGTAGAGATAAAAAGTTGTCATTTTAGTCAAAATTGGTCCCCTAGATCGAAGTTTTATGACTATTTGCTTAACAAATACGATCTGAACAAGTTTGTGTTTTAAAAGCAAATAATTCGTATTGGGACTAAAAATGAAAGCTGTACATATTGATAGATGTCGTAATAATATCATCAGATTATTGGCTTATATAACTGTTTGAATCTTAAACTATAATCGCAATCAAATTAAGCTCGCAAGACGTGATTACAAAATAATTTGAAATTTCTATTCAATCCATCTGTTGTTGCTTGTTATAATGAAAAAGCCATAGTTGTCACATGCATGAAATAGACCATGGCCATGAATTCTTCCTGATTAATCGATAAAAACTTAGATTTAAGATTATATTAAATATATTCAAGTGTAACATTCACAGAAGAATAAAAAAGTGAGTTCTTGCTTTATTTCATGTATTGAATGGACCATTTCCGAATAACATATTCTGTCAACAATAGTTCAAAATCAAGACTAATAATGCATTAAAATGCATTAAACATTCTTTTTCAATTTGCAGTGTACACCATCCTGGAACCAGAAATTACAATGTGAGCCTTTGCTATTGTGCGGAAGAACCACCGCTTTTTAAGAAACTTTTCTTATATTCCATAATCGATAAAGGGATAATTCATCTGTATCCAAATATTAAAGAACAAAAGCATACGCATTCAACTGTGATTAGGAAACATTTTTGTGTTTGATTTCATTCATTACCATGCGTAATATCGTATAACAACGCATTTTATTTTGAGAACGTGCAAATAAAGGATAACATTTCAGCTGTAAATTACAATTGAGTGCAATGCCACACACGACCGGAATAGAAGAGAAGGTTGAGCATCTATATGATAATTGAAATTTATCAAGATTGACCAATATTCAAAAACGATCGGATACTAGAGATGAAATAGCATTGATAATAGAAGCATAGTCGTGCATAGATTCTTTTCCCTTCTAATCAAAAAAGCTTTCCAGCCATCACTGATATAATGAAGTAAAAGAATTCCTTGTTAACAATCAGATTGATCATGAGTTTCAAACATGTCATTTTCATTAAAGATTACAGAATGATTTACGCGTATTTGATTTCATGTAATTTATTCTGATACAACTAACGACGATTTCTGTATCTTTTTGCTCGTCTAAGATTTACAGAAAATTTCCTTCTATTCTTTTTTATATTATAATTATTATCTAGTTTCATTTTCTATTTTCTCAGCGTCTTTGCTTTGTGAAAGATAAAATCAGGACGATCACATAAGCTATCGCCGTCGACATGACTCGCTGCATAAGTATCATCGTGAACATTATATTTTGTTTATGAAGATTTCATCTTAGAATGTTGCACCCGTCGTATCTACTTTTATCCAATATTTTCATTGGTCCATTTCTTCAGCAAATAATCAACGTCGTTAAATTTAGAACAATATTGCACCACAGTTGTTTCACACAGCTCTTATATATAGGGATTCTCGAAAACTTGAGATTATCCTTATCTTTTATCGGTGTGACTTCAATGATTTTTGAAATAAATCGAATTTCAGCTTTTCAGCACTATGCTCTTGCTGGTAAACTAAAAATCGGCGTCTATACGTTTCATGCGTTTTGCGTAAGAGCATATTAATAGTTACAGTGCGTTGGTATTTGTCAGAAACGCTACCAGTTTACCTTTGTTGCATGGATTCCAAGAAGCACTTGATTGTAAAACATATATTTCTTAATTTTTGATCTAGCAACGTAGAAAAATGCTTCTCATAACTCGAGTAGAATTTGATTAACAGCATAATAGTTCATAAAAATGTGTAGTCTAATCGTTGTTGACTTTTGCTCTGAAACGACAACTATTTTCTACTATTTCTATCCTAAGTTAATCACTGGGCTTTGTTTCTATCGAGCTAATGTTCATCATAAATTTATTTTTGTTTTCGAATAACAATTCACGTCCAATTGACTGTTATATCATAATCCAACTACAATGCGTGATAATGAATGATAATGCATAATAATGCATTATGATGATTCGGATCCAACCAATACCAATCATGGATATTGTGCCGGAATTCAATAAGAATAATCATCCATAGAAGATATATCAGTCAGTGATTCACAAATAGATCGGAAAGATGCATGCAAATGTGATGGAGCGACATCAGTTATGAACTTATCACTATGCCTCCGAAATCACTATCGGAGTATATCTTGATTAAAAAATGCAACATCTGATTCCTTATAGACTTTTCAGTAACTTAGCATCAGAATCAGTTCCATCAACAATACTATCCAGAAATGAGACTTTCGAGAACATGTTACTTCGTTTTATTTTATCTGTACAGCGTTTCAGTGTTCAACAACGAACTTATCACACGTTTTCCAAGTTACATCAAGTAAAAGAGTAGTCTAGTACATAAAAACAATTGAAAAGTAAAAGGTATAATAAGCATAAAAATAGCTAAAATACACGGAGCTGAGAAAACACCAGTAGAAGAAATTTTACAGAATAAAACCATTTCATAGATCACACGGAATAAAGAAAACAGTATAAAACCTTTGTAATATGAGTAAAAGCGAAGACTGCATATGTATATACAGTTAACGAATAGAAGACTCATTTTCTGTTATCTTATGGCGAATAGCGTTGTTTTGGTTTCCGATCGCGTTTGGTTCTCACAGGTGGAGCTAAGAAGAAGAAAAAACCTGAACGATCGATGAAATGAACAAGAATATTACTTACTGTTTTTCTCTTGAATGACTGCCGATGGATCAAGTGTTATACGCTCGTTAAGAAAGCCATTCTTCCCGATAAAATCGACCAACACATTTGAAAACAACCATGTTTTATGTTTGACATCAGCAGCAGTAAGTATACGAGGAAAATCATCGGTCTCGTTTTTCTTGAATGATTCTTCATAATCTTTATAATGTACCTTATATTTTGCCAACAAGCGACCAAAATCAAGTTGATCTTGTGGATTATTTTTCGGCAATGCCTTTAAAAAGCCCGGCAGAAGCTCGATATTACCATTTACTTTCTTGCTGGCAAACCAATTGCCTTTGATTAATAATCCATCAGTAACTAAGTTTGCAATGATTTGATCACGAGATTTGTTAATGTTTTTGATGTGCTTAAGTTTGCTGCAAACATCCGATCGTGACATAACAATAGCATCATTTAGAATTATTTTTTGATAGGCCTCTTGAATATCTTCATCGCGAACTTGACCACCGTCTAGAAAAAAAGTTATAAATAAATAAATCCATAAATAGAATTGCCGTTAATTCGAGGCTGACATCACTCAAAATAGAGCCGCATTTACTGAGATGTCTAGGTCCTTGTTTTAAAATGTCTCGAAAACAAGTAAACTGCAACTTACCGTCGGTAGTGTTTGATTCCGTCGGAACAGATGCCGATGAAAGTGTTCCACTTAAATGCATATCGGTGAATGGTGCTGCGATTTCTTCGCTTCCATTATTTCTCGATCGCTTCGGGGAAGCATCATCGTTTTCTTCGTCCAATATTCTCTTTACTAAATGTTTTTTATTTTGAAGTAAATTGGAAAGTAATTCCAATGTTTGTTGAGAACTCATATTATCCAACAATATGGCCGTATCATTTGATGCCGGTTCACCAGGTAAAAGAGTGTCACTGTTATTGATAACACTAGCCGATAATGTCTCGATATTGGACAATACCGACCGATCTGAACACGACGGAGAAAAACAATTCATTTACTTGGATGAAAGCTGCCATCTTACATTGGTTCTGTTCACAAGTGATTGCTTTTGATTTATTTTGATAAAAAGACACTCGATCATCAGGAATCTTTTCCGTTGTAATTGATATTGGATCTAGAAATCATGCAGCAATGTGCTTTTCTGATAAAATTTTAAGTTTATAAAGTAGACTCACTTGACTGTTCGATATTGAGTGGGTCATAATCAAGCATGTTTGTTAGTCGACTCATAATATCATCAACTGATGGTAAAATTTCGTTTTGAAGTTGACTATCAGGTCCAGTTATTTGATCGATAAAGTTGTTGTATTGTGGTGCAGTAGTAAAGTTTGTGTTCAAAATTTCAGTTAAGACAGAGGAGTTTTCAGAGCGAGCTGAAGTCGTGATTGGCGATGAATTATTAGTTGGTCGATGTGATTCGAAAATTAAAGCCGCCAATACGCCATCACCATTATTATCGTCGTTGCCATCGTTATTGTCAGTTGGTGTTTGATCAGCATCATACGGTTGGCTGTTTTCAACATTGAAATTATCTATACATCACAAAAGATCCACTTAAATGAGAACTGGGATTTTGTAGAAAAAGATCGACTTTACCACGTTCAGCAGTTTGAGACATCGATGGCACATAGTATTGCTTTCGACCTAATGACATTCTGTATTGCACCACTTCTTTTGATAATCGGTCTTCCATTTCTTTTTCGATACGAGCATCATTGAATAAATGACAATATTGAATATAATCGTCGTTGAATAGAATTGAATTAACAGCAAATGTAGTTAACTCCATGTGCATTGGTAACGGCGACGAGAGATATGTATGTTCATACGTATCGATGTCGATACCAATTGACAGCAGATAGTTGAGCATGTCGGCATTGCCACGAATAGTAGTTGGCGATGCTTTTAGATAAGTTTCTTTTCGTGCGGCAACAATATGTCGAGTATTCTGTAAGCCTTTTCGCAGAATATCATTTTGAACTAATTCGTCAACAGCTCGACTAAGTTTGGACATTTTGTTTTTGGATTTTCGATAACTGCTAAATATTTTGGTGAACGGAAGACCGGTTATGTCATTGCTGAACCAAGCCTTAATAAGAATTGGTGACGTCATTTTCAGTAATATGCATTGATGTTCGTAAAAAGCACTAAAGTAAAACATGAATTTTAATTAGATATTTTCTTCACAAGGACTTGATCAAACAAATGCAATCAAAGAAAAAGTATCTATCACTATATCGAATAGAGAATGAATGAATAAACTATAAAATGGCGAGCTGTTAAAGTGTCGGAGCGTCGCAAAAGTCAATTTAGAAAGAACTAGCTTACGTTCAGAGGCTGAACTACAAAGAAATGAACATTACTACTACTTCTCTCAAACAATATTCGAACTCACAACACTAACAGGAGACCTATATCGGTATCTGGAGGGAAAAATTTAATAGAACTTACTCTGCTGACAAATCACCAGCAATCGAAATATTATTGTCATTGCTCGATGTTTCATTGCTATTCATTGATGTTCCGTCGAAAAGAGCCGAAATTGTCGATGAAGTATATTGGTAAAGCATATTTGAAGCATGTACGGCTGGTTTTTCAATGACAAATAAAGGACGTTGATCACTTCCAAATTTTGGAGCCACTGCAACGTCTCGTTCGATCAGTACTTTGACAGTATCATGAAATTTCATCAGCCAGCTGGTTTGCTCGTCGTCGATATATTCCTTGAGATAAAGTCCATCACCAAATCGAACTATGTTAATGCATTCAAAACATAATTGAATGGCATATGACATCGCTTGACACAATCCAGCTAAACGGGCCAATTTATTGCTGCTCTTTCGTTGAAATGCTCGTTGTAAAGGTGTATAAATCGGATTGCCCTTGGTATCGCATTGCAATGATTTCTGATGTTCAGCTTCAATAATACGACGAACGGCATTGTAAGGAGATATTACCGATCCATCTTGTTCGACGTCAACTTCTTTAACGCCAACAATTACACTCGGCTTTATATTCGATATCGGTTCCGTTGTTGGAATTGGATTTACGACATCTTTTCGTGCTTCTTCTATATCCGGTGGAACAATAACTAGAGAAGAAAGGAAGCAGAGATATACATGTGGAACGATCAATAACGAAAAATGTTGTAAAACTTTAATTCTCTCAGATATTGACTGTACGGTCATGCTACGCAACGAATTCAATGACAACACAAGGAATTCACAGACTGATGATTCACCTTCACTATCGAATCTCATGTTATAAATCATCATAGCAGCATAAGTAATAGATGAAACTATTTCCTTTCATCTGTCGATATTTTTAGACTGAACTTCTGTCAACTGCTCACTGAATTAATTATTGCATGACACATGAATTGCAGAGAAACTTACTTGGCTGTGGTGAACTAATTGGAGATTGATGTTGAGCAAATACAAACATCGGCTTGTGTTCTGCCAATAGGCGAAGTACAATTAAAACGTGTACGATATTTGGTTGTACAGACAGAATTTCAGATGGTAGATCGTTTGAAGTTTTGTACACAGATGTTGTGATGAATAAATACCGGCTAATGGTGCCGTCGGATTGAACATTAGTGTTGTATTGTCGACATACAGATGACAACATGCTTCCTGTTGATGCCCCAAAGATATTGATGGAGCCACGTTTAACAAAGTACGACGAAGATCCAGTTGTACGAGAAACATTCTTCATGACATCGTAGCCTTGACACAAAAGTTTAGAACCAAATGTTTTCATATCGTTGTCCGTTGAGCCAGCTTGATATACTCCAAATCGAGTATTAATAACATCAAGTTCATCACTTGAAATAAATACATTCTCCTAAAAAGACAAGTTGAACAATTTAACTATATATTGTCTCTGAAGTTAGTATTTATGTTGAATACAAAAGCAATTCTCTCTCAGTAATTTCTATGAATTTCATTTGGAACTTTATACTCATAAAATCTGACGTTTGTAACTTACTCGTTTCGAGAGTCGTTGAAATAACGATAGTTCTGTATCGTTGTTTGCCATTAAATCAACTGTACTTTGTACTTCTTTGCCGTTGATAAGTTCGACAACAGGTTTCGAAAAAAATGAAGAAAATATTTTTTTCTAATGCATTAATGCTATTGTTGAAGACTCGAAATAATCCAGATTTATTTGTGCCTAAACAATTCAATACCGATTGGATAACTCATCAAAGAAATGAAAGAAACCTACCTGGTTCANTGCAGAATAACGAAGCATCTGATACCTGTATATTAGTGTCCTGTAATAGTTCATTCTATCGATGAAAGCGCAAATAAAAAGCTTAAATGTAAAAGCATCGTAAAAGCCCATGCATGATAGATAATCAACTCTTTCGATCTGACAGACAAACAAGACTGGCAACATTGATTTGAAATGTTCACAGTATCAATCAAAATAGATAATCTTTTCACGTAATCAATTTGAAATATTTATTACAAGTTGTTTATTTTTTTAGATGCCAAACGACGAAGATATTCTTGAAAAACTTCGTTCCTCAATTGGTTTACTAGCTCTAGTCTACATATGTCGGCTGTATATCAAACTGTCGACTTTCTCATCGATAATTTTACCATCTACTGCTCGGACGCATCTGATAAAACAATCACTAAATGATCGTTACCATACTAGTCATACAACCGAAGATATTATGCTGGTGACCAACATGATCGAACTAAACAAAGATCTTATTAATCGAGTACTGCTATTGTCCGATTTTGAACAAAATACGATCAGGTTAGATGTAAATCATATTACAATAGATGTTTTAAATGATTTAATCTTATCTCCATTCACCAACATATGTTTGATTTGCAAAAAGTCGCTTACATCATATCGATCCAAGTTCGTTCATATTATCGATTGTTTTAAAATCATTCGAGCCGTAGCTGTAACTGCTGAGTGTAAAATATGCACGCTAATTTACAATCATTCGTCTTGGTACTCATTGAAGAATCGATGGCGAAAGATCAACACTTCATCATTGAATAGTGTGCACAAAGTGTTTTATTTGTGTGATTCACTCGCATTTACGTATTCGGTTTTCTTCGATTATACATGTCAACTTCTACACAATCAATGTCCATTTCAATCGTTTTCTCGAATTCTTATTGATAGATACAATTATGAACATCAAAACAGCAATATCATTCTGCAGCCCATTCCATTAGCGAAGTTATTCCAATCCCATTGGTTATTATATCAAATTGTACATTTTGAGTTCATGTTAGGACGAACTCAAATAGTTAATTTACCGGTCTCACTTAATCGAAATGAACTTAATTGTCATTTTGAATGTTATTCTGGTTGGTGGTATCATCTGTTCACTACATTTTGGTCTAGACATAAGTCAATTCCAAATGTGAAATGTTCTTCATCAGATTGTAGTCGATGCATTATTGTGGATGGCCATCAGAAATGTCGACGATTAGTGTGTAGTTACAAAAACGTTGTCGACATTTCCATTGAATAAATGACTGCAATTGAGATTGGTTGTCCATATACACCTTGCCGAAGAACACATTCGTCGAATTCTGGTACGCATAGAATTGTTCGTTGCTGTCATTTATACGGTTTTATTTTAGTTGATGCGATTTATTGTCGGTACCATCAGCCCTCGGTTCTTCTATCGCCGTCTCTTAGTTTACAAAAAGCTGGTGACATGGCTGCTGAATTCTCGGTAATACGGTTTTCTTACCTAAGTCATTTTCAGAGTCTGACTGTCGGACCTATTCAGTATATGAATAATTGGAGATATAACCTATTATGGAGTGGTTATGAAGCCAATACTGTTTATTGTTTGCTAATCAAGTTTGCAAAGCAAACTCTAACGATATGTAAATGGTTTGTGTGCATGAGCATAGGCACATGTATTCCTAGTCAATGCAAGGTTGACAACTGTTATTCGCTGAAAAAAACTGTATGCTAGAAATCATAATAAACAAATAAAATATTGTACTTACGAATGAAGAGAACGAATCCCACGAATCACACAGATAACTATGTAAATGTAATTCATCCAATAATTTGATCTACTCAAAATTTTCACACACGCGTTCTCTATCTCGCATAGGATAATATTTTATCCTTGTTTCGTTGATCGAATGGGATAAGTGTACTCTTTTTTTTGTGTTTTTAGAAACGGGATAGAGATTTTCTATCAGAACATAAATTTCAATGCCAAAATTATCGCAATGACAGTGAAGAGATAAAAAAGAATAAAACTTATGGCATACTGGCATCATATCATCCATGTGGAGTTGCAGTCGGTTTTACGGAAGCATTCAAAGCTGAGGGTATGTTAGTTTTAAAATTGTATTCAACAAGATGTCATAAGCGACTTCGAGTCAGAATTTTTGCAAGATTTTGTCAAAGAAAATTCTGATTTATGATGTTTTTCTCGATAGGGATGCGATCGGTGACTCGTCACCTTTTACTCATGATCATTGGTGGTTGCCTTATGCCAGATGCACTCATGTATGATTGCGCCTGCGCATTAAAGCTGCATTGGAATAAATGGTTAGGTACTGATATGCTGAAGACATCGACAATAACACAACATCTTCCAGTTCATCTAGCCCTCGATAACTTTCATCAAATGACACATTCTCGACCGATGTGCCAAACCATCATAAAATCAGACCACCCGTCACATGAGGGACGATTTGTTGGTTTAAACAGTCAAGCAGCTGAACAGGCATTCCAATACATAGCACGTGCCAAATTTGCATTACGAAACTTTTCGTACCCACATTCAACAGTAATGCTGTTGATCATGCTACATCTACTGAACTGTAAAATAACCGGCATTAATTCAGAAACCATCGGCTTGGGATTTTTGTACTTCAATGATATAATGAAGGACTTTTTCGCCACACCATGCGTGTATGAACACTTTGGTACGTTAAATGATGAAGAGGTGAACAAAGACGAAGATAATGATGATCAATCAGACCTGGATCATAACGTTACGTCGGAAGACGTATCATAATTGTATTTACATTATTTACTTACAAATAATGCCTGATTGATCATCTGAAGATTTGTTTCCGGCATAACTATAATTTTATTTGTACATTGTTGTTTCCTTGTTTTGGTTCTATATATATGTTACCTAGAAATTGAAAATAAACATTTGGCTTGAACCGAAGTGTCAAATTGTTAACAAACTTGTTCAATGCATTATAATGAATTAACAGTAAGAGATGTTCTAACGCTGACTATTCATCTTATTTGAATTGCCTTGTATTGGTTAACACGATTCACACGTGCTTCGTTGATCTTATACTTTAATAATTGATAACCTTTTCGATTTGTTAAAAGACAGTCTATCAACAACCAAAAGAAATGTGACTTTTTTGTGTGTGAAAAAACCTGCATTACAAAAAAGATCGATTCATCATGAAAGACATATTTTACTTAGAGGAAAACTAGTACCTGTGTACATGCTGCGTTCATTATACTCTTCCAATTTCTTAATAATACCTCAGAATGTCTTTTGATGGTTCCAAGGCTTGGTACTAAATCTATGATACACTTGAAAATATGTCTTTTGTGTGCCGATTAATAATCAACGCACTTTTCTGTATTCAAATGTTTCCAATCCGCATAATAATAGTGCTGATCGTTTTTATAATGTCAAATGTGCGCATAATCAGTTGGCTTATTACTTTGAATTCTTTTGAAAAGTTTCGACAAAGGAGTTGAATCTGAACTCGAGTACGGAGTCTATACTTTTGTGAAGAAAGCTGAACATTTTACAAGGTGAGACTCGTTATACTCACAATCAGTCTGATTGACTGATTGATTTCACGATTTTTTGAAATGCAATAAGTGGAGGGTGGTTGCGTATCTGTTGATGATGGTGGCTTCCTGTCGGATAAATGTTCAAAGTAATGTCTTGGTCGAAACTGACTTTCGTAAATACTTCGACGTTATTTCTGTTGTTTCTCTCAACAGCGACGATTTCAATTCTATGCATGTGTTTGTCTGGCTTATGCATAAACATACTTCTGATTTCTTTCTATCGATCTTTCCTCCATTCATATGGAACGATTTTGCTTTATCGGTCTGTCGACAAACACTTTTTAGTTCTTTTGTTTCACACAAAATTTTCATATTCAGTTTCAATGTGAGACATTGTCTTGAACTTTTCTATACTATCCTTCTTCTTTGTTCTAAACTTTCACAAAGCTTATTCATTAGTCTCTTCTTTCGTTCATTGGTATTCTTTAATCGTCCCCATACTTCAGAAACCTTTTCTTTTATTCATTTAGCCTCATTCAGAAGATAAGTAAATTTTAGCAGCTGTGAAGGTACGAGAAACACCAACTTAAGTTCCAAACTAGACGTATTTGACTTGGTTTCTTGAAGTAGTGTATCTTTATTTGTGTGAGATATGAATGATATTTGACTGAAATGTGAATGTAGTTTTCTACGAGGATATTCTACACGATGATATTAAATAGCCCATATTGGCTTTCATTCACTGTATATGCTCTCTTGACTGAAGAAATTCATTTTTTCTTCGCAAGTTGCTCTAGACTTTGTTCTATTGTCTGGAGGATAGTTTTATATGGTTCTCGAAGACGATGAAAAAAGTTAACTATTAATTCATCCTCTCTTCACGCTGTTTTCGTCTCGACTATTTCGATGGTCTTTTTTAGTGTAGATCAACTTAGCCTCGTGGATCGTAACGTATTTCCCTTTATTCTGAAAGTGATTAACCTTGATTATTCTTTATAGTGTGGATTTTTCGGTATACAATTCTATCATTCATCAGAGATATCAAGCGAGTTTAGTGATACTTTCTTAATGGATTTGATATATAGTTGTAACTTTACATAGAATGCTTGTTTGCATTAATTTCTAAACATTCCTATACGCTCTTGTTCTACGACTATCGTTATCTTGTCAATCTCTATCACGATTTGTATTTTCATTTGATCAAGTGCAATGTTTGTTAATCTTTTCTTGTCATTTTCTGCATTATTCTCAATTGTCTCTTGCCTATCATTTTCCACTAAGTTAGTCACTACTACTCACATCTTTCTATCAAATCACGACTAATAAATTTGATTCTTCTTATTTTCAAATTCTGTATATATATTTTTCTACGAAAGATGGCATGTAGATTGATCATCTCCAGTTTGGAATTTACTTTAATTCGTTTATTAAGTATGTATGTTAAATAGGAAAATAACTGAAAAGTAATGTGTTCTTTTTTATTATTATATCACTATCCTGATGTAAGATTGCTGCCAATCTTAATGTCATTAATCATGTTGTTTTATTATTTATCTGTGAAATCTTTATTGATAGACCATTTAGAAATCAAGTACGGATAAATCTATATATGATTTTCGATTGGTTAGTGTTTCCTCAAATACTTGATGCTTGACGAAATATGTGTCATAAATAAAAAGAAAGGTCGTGTTTTATTCGATGCTGACTCAATTGGTATTATACCTGAGTACTAGTAAATTAGATTGCATCATCCGTGAATATAGACGGACCAGTCAACTAATACTGATCATTTCAAAACAAAATAGTTATATGATTACTACGTAAATTTATATCTGTTCTTTTTATGTGAGAATCTCAGTATGGAAACAATTACATTTCTCAAATCGGCAACAGCGTGGATATAAACGATTACAGTTTTCCTCTTCATCCTGTATAAGGTATTCATCACTGGCGCACGTTATCTCTCTTCATCCTCACACATACTGTCTCTACTCTTCTTTCTTTCCATCACCTCTTTGAACTGACGTGGAAGAGTAGAGAAAATATGTATGAAGGGAAGAAAGAGAAGAGTGCGGCAGGGATGAGTACCATATATGAGAAGAAGATGAAGCTTGTGCAATTGTTTGGATCATCACGACTGGCTTAGTAGATGTAATATTTGAAAAAAATAATTCAATTCTTCTTGTTTTTTGATTTTTGAACGGAGAATACGTTTCCAATAGCGTTTCGAAGAATACCGTCCGAAACATGAGGTTCTTTTGGATGTAACAATCTGGCATATTCTAACAAAATAAAAATATACATTTTCATTCGATTATATTTGTCCCGTTACCGATAATTTGGCATTTTTCTTTGTCACTCATCAGTGACACCGTCATTTTAGCACGCTCCGCACTATCAGCATACAATTTCTTGGCCAATTTCCGACATGTCTTTGTGATAGAATCTCGCGATTTGCACAATTTAACCTCGGTCTTGGTGAGTTTGAATGTTTTCCGAAGCTTCTCTTTTCTCCTTGCTGCTTTAGGATTGCTGCTCGTTGGCACTTGCTTCAGTTGGTAACAAGGCATCTGATCTTTCGATCAGAGTACGCAGATAATCTGCTACTTCACCATTCGGTCTATCAGAAACATTTTCATTTATATATCGATCGAAAAACTTTTTTACCTTGGCACATAATTTTGTTCGTAAAACGTTAATTTTTTCTTCAAATAAAGATTTTCTTTCATCAGTTGACTGTTTGACAATGTTGACGAGGTTCGACGCTCTGCAAATTGAGTAAATAACATTTTATTCATTTCAGTTAAATAAGAAAATTCAAAAACGTCAATAAATTATCTCTATCGAGAAGATCATTGATCTTTCCAAAATCATCGCATATCAACATTATCTATCCATCTACAATGAGTAGTACGGATCGTGCACATCATAGGATGTTCAAAAATAAAATATTTGTTTTTTCTCCACGACACAAACATCTCAATACGGGTCTTGATTTTGAAACTCTTTGTTAGATACTGATATAAGTCGAAAAGTCATCAAAATTGCCTATTAAGGAACATTATTTTTCCTTTTTCATCCTTCAAGAATCATTTCTATTCAACAATACAATCGTTTTACTCTAGAGATCTCAACACAATGAGATTAACTTCAAATTCTTTGTTTCTTTGAATTTAAAACTATACATTTCATTAGGAAAAAATAATTATTACTTGATGATAGTGATAGATTTGAAACGAACGATTCTTCATCTTCATCAGCTGAAGAAGAAGATTCCGATGATACCATTGATGTAGATTTATCACATTTATTATCATATATAGTTATCGATGATTGTGTAGTACCGGGTTCAACACCTTAAATGTAAAATAGATGCATATCTATCGGATATTTGACAAATCTATGATATTAATATTTACAATCATGTTCACATGAAGGCTCGTTAGAATATTGATCAACTTGCAACGTATTAGTATTCACATCTACTTCATCCGAGATGTCAATTTCAGGTATTTCGATAGATTCTTTTGCTTTCATATTATTATTGAACGAAGATCGATAATCATCATCATCATCTTAAGAGAAAGAGATTTCTTTTAAATTCTATTTAATTCAGTCATACTGGATCAATTATCTAACTGCACAATAAAACTACTCACGAACCTGATGAAGTTGCATAATGTTTTCGAACAAGGATTAGTCGATGGTGGACCTTGTGAGATATATCAGAGATTGTTCGATCATTTTTTTCAATTTGTTTCATATTTCTCTTTGACATAATTTTCAACAAATAATTATTATCTAGAAAGTATTTTGTATAAATTTGCTAGTAAAATCAAACTATATCTTGACGATAAAAGTTTTGAACATATTATTCCCAAAGAACCAATTTGAACAATGCAACATATCGTATGTTGAAAGTAAAAAATTTCATATTGGTGCCAAACAAATGGAGGTTATGATGTTAATAGATATCGTAAGAATACGTATACGAATAATTGAAATATAGGAAATGTACAAATTGAAACATTATCGACGATAAAAATCATATGGCGACGTGTTAAAGATTAGAGCTTATCTTCTCATCATTAAAGAAAAAGTTCTCTTCATATGTCTTTTTCAGGATCCGTACTAGCTAGTTTAACAAAATAATAATGCCAAAGATATCGCGCTTTATAATGCTTAATTTCCATATTCTATTCTCAATACTCACCCATTGATTTATTCATTTTAAAAGCAAAATTAAAAGAAAATAAAAACAAAACAGCGTTTCTTTAGTTGATTTCCTATACAAATGTATAGATAAAGACAAATCAACAGATGCGTTTATTCAAATAATTTTCTTATCCTAATCGATAACTCACATAAGCAAATAATCTTTGATTTACAATAAATGTCATAGTTTGTTGACATATCAACCTATCCAAATCGATCTTGAAAGTCATCATCTTCTGTAGTTGATAATGGATTCGTTTTAACAGTATTTGACATGAATCATCTTCATTTTTCACAATAGCAACAAATTTTCTTTTGATGAATGGTTCTTTTTGATAAATATTCATGAATAATATGTGTAATATACATTCATAAATGTATTAGTTGTTGAAGAATTTGTTTAAGATATTTGACAAGAACTATTGTTATTCCATTGACGGATTCATCGCAATCTGGAATTCCTTGAGAATGACAACGTCTCGTGCTGATCAATTCNTAAATAAATTCATCGACGAAATACTACCGGTGCCATCAGGATTGAAAACTTCCACTCCATCAAGCATCATAGCGGCATGTCCGAGCATCCCAAATACGAATGGAGCGATATCAACTCCTAATGTTTGATGTTGTTCGAAGAAACGAAGTAATGCTGCTTGATTGAATGAACCAAAAATCGATGTCATTTCAAATGGAATTGGTGAGGAATTGGTCAGTTTGAAAATATTTGAACTAATTTGTGCTGCATATGGTTCCAGTTTATTAGGTGCCATCTCTAAAAAAAAATAACGAGTATAGATTCGTGATTCATAAAAAGCTGACAGCAACGCAAAGTTAAATCGCACAGGATTCAATTCAAGGGTCTCCTTAATTCAAAGTGAGTGGAAACGTTGCCATGATAAACATCGAAATCTTAATACTCACTTTCAATAAAAATTTCTTTGATGGCAAAACACTGTTAATATAACAGCAAATTGAACGTGATAAATGTAGAACTTTTGAGCCCAAGAGAAAATCTAAAACAGCATATGACAACACGCACTGCAGAACATTCCCTCTTCTTACTTGCTGTTTTAATTCAAGAGCGAAGGATGAAGTGTACGCTTCCAATGGTTAACTTTTTTGCCAGTTTCTTGTTGTTTAGTTTAATGAATCTTTGTTCGAAAATCAGAATTTCAAATCTAGAAAAGAAGCAAAAAAGAGTGTCTGTCCTTTGTATCATAAACAAGTAAGTAGTTTTCAAAACGAACAATAGCGTGATTTCTCCTGTAGAACTAGATTTTCAAACAAGTATTAAAAAGGCTTTCTTCTTTTATGATCAAATTATTTCAAAATGACTGTCTTTACACCTATGGAATCGTGGTAGGCATTTGCATGTATATATACATACAGAACGTCCGTCACGTATACTGAACGAACAGAACGAAAAAGAATGAACGTATATCTCGTATGTGTACGGATTGAACGAGAAGAATGGAAAAGAAAAACTTGTCCTTACACGTGTCAGTTGTTCATTGCTGTTAATTTCAATAAAAGTGTTTCCAGGAAAATAAATTACTCATCGTTTCACATATTTATAAGAGTGTGCAGAATTTAAACGCTACTAGTTTACCTTTCACTGTTTGTGTATTCTGTGTATTTTTCAATAGTTGAGGAAAAGAAGATAAAAAATTCCAATATCGTTGTCTTCTGTTCATTATTTAGTTGAACAAATTCAAGAATTTAACGAAAAAGTATATGGAATTCAGGGCATTTGCTAACTGTTTTGTGTCTGTTTGCTTTTCAATGAAAAAAGGAAAAGATTCATTATGTAATGTAACGTCTCTCGAAATATGTTCTGAGTCGATGGAATTTGAGCATTTTATTACTTGTTTTTGTTTTCTATTGTAATGTAGTTTAATGCATTTTAATGTATTTTCATGTATTGTAATGCATTATCACGTGTTGTAATGCAGTTTAATGCATTTTCACGTATTGCAATGTATTTTCAACGATAAAGCTAGAGAAATATAGTTTTTATGAGTTGAGCGAGTCAACAGAAAGTAGTATCGGAATGAAACGACTTTTGAACTTTTTGATTGCTCTTATTTATACGAGGAAATTGAAACGAAATAACACGACTGATAAAGTTTAATTCATTTTGACTTGTACTTCAATCGAACCATTCTATAGAAACTTATAGAGATAAAAGGATAATTTCTGTGCTAGTTTGTAAATATTTATTCTATAAACCAGAATGAATTTTGTATGCGAATTAATATTTCTAATATATAAGAATCGAGGTTGCTAATTTGCAATAAGAGAAAAAAGCATTTAATTGGAAATTCATCAAATCTAAATTGATTATTGTTGGATGTTGATCAGAATAGTTAAATGAACGATTGGTGCAATGCGTAATATTACGACATCTATTTATATGAAAACCTCCATTTGTTTGCGCCAATACGAATTGTATCACTGTTCAATGTGTTCATTATTAATTTTCTTGAAACTGCTTTAGATTAATAATATATTTCAAAGATTGGTTTTGATTTTAACAAATTCGTTTACTGATATCTTTTAGATAATTTTTTCTTTTGAAAATGATGACAAGAAGAAAAACTCTTAAGGAACTAGGGAAACCAATCCATAAAAAAATTCATCATTCATCAAAAAAGGTTCATCATAGAATAATCTTGGTTAGAAAGCATTTTATGGAATCTTCAGGTCAGTCAGAATTTATCTTATGAATAAATAAATAAATAAAAAACCAAAAAAAATGTTCTTTTCTCAATTTCAAGCTGATGAAGATGGCTCATCAATTGCTGAGAATATTCAACCAGAAAGTGTAGATCGAATCGACGAAGAGAATTCATCGATTACAGATATGAGTAACGATGTGTTGTGTCTTGGTGAATATTCCGAGAATCATTCAGATGTAAATAAAAGTAATTATTAAAGTGATTGATTGATAATATTTCTTAATCGGTATGATATTACATGGTATCCTAGGCGTTGTACCTGATGGTGTTACTGAGTCTTCGATAACGATCGTTCGATCACAAGACAAGGCAACATGTACATCTCCACTGCACACATCAAATGCTGTCGATTTTTCTACATCTTCGATTTCATCACGTAATAGAAATCGTCTAATATCGAGAGATTTTCAAAACGAATTAACCTTTTGTTTATTAGAATGCTGTTCTAAATCTACGCAAACTGATGATGTGATTCCAAAACCTTCTTTGAAAAAAGATCAACTTAAAGCAAAAAAAAAGAAAATTGCTCGTCGTTTAAACTTAAGCATCAAACAACTACGAGAGTGTAAAGAGAACAATGATATCCGTAAAACGTGTAGATCTATTACCAAATGTCTTTACCCAGATGTACACATTCGAGCTTCTATGACAATTTTGAAAATGTCAAATCAACTGAAAAAGGACATTCGAGGTAGTTTTTCATAATGAGAATTGGTCTAAATAATATATCTTCTTTCTTTGACTTAGATTACGCAAAAATCTTGCATCCTGACCAAAGTGATGCACAAAAACATTTCCTTCATAACGCTATCGGCAATGTTTTTGCTTCAGCTAAAAACAAGAAAAAGAAAACTTAAGAACAAGACATCTGGTTTTCCAACAATTTCTTCAAAAACATTCACATGAATGTTTCTTATGTAACACAGGTAATTGAGTTCCTTCTTTTATAATATAATAGGATATTGTTTTAGGTTTTGTTTGATCAACATTCAGACACATTTCAGTGCCTATCGATTTTAGAATCCAAATGGAGCTGATTATGGTTAAATTGAAGTCATATCTAACTGTAAGTCGAAAGTTTTCAGTTGAGTTTCGTAAAAACACCCTATCTGCAATTTTCATTTGATGATTACAGATGACACACATTTGGTCATTGACAGGTCTTTTTTTCTACGGCTGGTACGGACTGACATTCACTTCAAAGTAATATAGACAAAACTTAAAATAACATCCTCTTATGTTTTTTAAATAGGTAACTTAATTACTCGTGTTTGATAGGAAATATTAATGTAACCGTTTCTCACAGATTGTTGGAAAATCTTTTGGCATTTTTTTTGAAAAATGCTGTGCTGTTTATATTACCGTCAGCTATACAAAAGAATACAAATAGATGAACAGAAAATAAATCATATAACTTTTAAGTTCTTTCTATTCGAAACCGATATTCTTTTCAAGATAAGAAGAGAGATATACATTTGAAATGTTTAATATTCATGAACTTTCTTTTAAAAATCAATTACAACAACAGATAATATGAGACATCTATATTTGAATGATTATTTGATATACAAATATGAAAAAATTGTCGAGTAGATAAAAAAGCGTTGTCGAGAAAACACTTGCCAATGAGAAGAAACTGATGAAAATATTTTGGAAAACCATCCGATTCGTCACACGATTGTAAGGATATTACTTTTATCGTGACAGCGATATGTAGAGATATTGACGAATAAATATTAAAGCACACTAGATTGAAAATTGCGATTGGAAAAATTAGAAAGAAGATTAGTTGAAAGTTTACCACCATCATCGTTTATCATCCTTTATAAATCAGAATTGCACGCGAAGAAGAACTTATCTCAAATAATAGCCAGTTGAAACTGTCGAAAACATGAAAAAATATATCCTGAATAACAAAAATATTTCTGACAACGTTAATGAGAAAAGTAGAAATTGTTAAGATAGCGTAAGCTATCCGAGAGTAAAGTATGGATAAGTTAATTAACAAATTGTTTTGGCGTCTTGGAAGATATAGTCTACGGTGCGGTACGTTACCAAGAAGAAACAAGAGCAATTCGCAAAGCAAATTTCCTATTTTTTATCAGAAAGAATGTACGTAATGAAAAAAATGAACGCATACATTTTCATTTGATTCGAACGTCTTCTGCACCTCAATCAAAAAACAACGAAAAATACAAAACGAAACCATTCACAGAGTTTTTTTCCATAGACTTATGCCTTCAATGAGAGTTCAGTAGGAACTGTACAAAGATGAAAGAATCATTTTTACGGGTATTTAGAGATAATTTACTCATGCGCATTGAAGAAGACCTACACATAGTAGAAAAAATATCACTTGTCGATTGTCATTTTGTTACAAAAGTTTTGTTTGTTTATTTACCAATTCTAGAATAATTATTTCATTCATGTAAATTCCCTTGTGTCTTAAATATCATGCAGATTATGTTCTACTTCAAAGACTGTCAAGTTATTGAAAAATATTTTTGCTTATATTCAATATTTAATACAGATATGAGGCGAATGTATTATTGTTTATTATTACTCGGCAACATCTGAATTCGTCAATATACTATCCATTATAATGCATTATTCAACAGAATTCTATGAAAAAAATAATGATTTCGTCTCAATGCATTGTACTGCATTATAATGCATTATAATGTGTTAACAATATTCGATTGAGAAAAAGTTTGTTGCGTGTATTCTTATATATCGTTTTTTAAATTCTTTTGATATGACCATATAACGAAGGTGAGACTTGAGATTTTGTACCGAACAGATTTTTTCGTTAATTAAACGATGTTAACGAACATATTGATTCTTACTAGCATTGTATAGCCAATTTATTTGTATGTATATTCATTTCAAACGAAAGGTATGTTAGCATTCAATGTGTCGTGGCGGTCAATTCACTGACATGAAAAGAAATTTTAATCGAAAAAAAAGATTTTTCTGTCATTGCAGTTTCTTGCACATATTAAAAGAATTTTTTTGGTAAATGACGATATTTTCGAGAAAGCAAGTATATCGATCATTTTTAGATGACAATGTATTTATCAATTTAAAAGGAAAGAAAAGAAAAGGAACGGGTGGAGAAGGAAGAAAGGAAAGAAACAAACGGACGGAAAGAACAGAATGAAAAAGACATACGTTATAGTCTAATGTATTTAGACAATAAGCAATTCAAATTAAACATCAAATTGAAACTTTGTAAGTACGTGAAAAGTTGCACTGTTCTCCGATTGTTAATATCAAATTATAGCACGTTCATAAAAAAGCAAATCTGTTGATCGGTCACAGTACGTTTATTTTTGATACTACAATCAAGGTAAATAAAGATGTAAAGAAGGGATAACTGTTTCAGTCGATTCAATCTTATAGTAATACTGTAATGAATATGATCGTTGGCTTTTCAACAATATTAGTTTGTATTCAATTTTAACATAAGCAGTCGTTGAGCATATGTCTTATAAAATTAGTAAAGATGCAATCTATGTGTTGTACAGAATAAGCCAGCATCTGACAAGATTACAGTAAAGTATTGTAATAGTTGATATCATCAACAAAAGCGCGTGTTTAAGACTTAAATATCGAGATATCCGAAAAATCAATGCGTCATAGACAATCGATTTATTTCATCTAACAGATACTAAAGTCACTGACATTGTTTTGGAAAGTTTATCGTATCAATTAAAAAAGACATTCCTCTAGTTTATTTAAGCTACGATAATTATTTAAAGTTGTTTATTATTTTAAGATGCCACACGGCGAAGATATCCTTGAGACACTTCGTTGTTCCATTGGTTTAATGGCTCTAGTTTACATCTGTCGACTGTATATCAAACTGTCGACTTTTCCATCGATAATTTTACCATCTACTGCTCGAACACATCTGATAAAGCAAGCACTAAATGATCGTTACCACACCAGTCATACCACCGAAGATATCATGATGGTGACAAACATGATCGAAATAAACAAAGATCTTATTAATCGAGTACTGTTACTGTCAGATTTTGAACAAAATACGATCACGTTCGATGTAAATCATATTACAATGGATGTTCTAAATGATTTAATCTTATTTCCATTCACCAACATCTGTTTGAATTGCACAAAATCTCTTACATCATATCGGTCCAAGTTAATTCATGTTATTGGTTGTTTCAAAATAGCTCGAGCAGTAGCTGTAACTGCTGAGTGTAAAACGTGCACACTAATTTACAATCATTCGTCTTGGTACTCATTAAAGAATCGATGGCGAAAGATCAATACTTCATCATTAAATAGTGTACTCAAAGTGTTTTATTTATGTGATTCGCTAGCATTCACATACTCGGTTTTTTTTCGACTATACGTGCCAACTTCTACACAATCAATGTCCATTTCAATCTTTTTCTCGAATTCTTATTGATAGATACAATTATGAGCACCAAACCAATAATATCATTCTTCAGCCCATTCCATTAGCAAAATTATTTCAATCTCATTGGTTATTATATCAGCTTGTACGTTTTGAATTCATGTTAGGACGGACTCAATTAGTTAATTTACCGGTCTCACTTAATCGAAATGAACTTAATTATCATTTTGAATGTTATTCTGGTTGGTGGTATCATCTGTTCACTACATTTTGGTCCAGACACAAGTCAATTCCAAATATTAAGTGTTGTCCATCAGATTGTAGCCGATGCATTATTGTGGATGGCCATCAGAAATGTCGACGATTAGTATGCAGTTACAAAAACGTTGTCGATATTTCCATTGAAGAAATGACTGCAATTGAGATTGGTTGTCCATATACACCTTGCCGAAGAACACATTCGTCCAATTCAGGTACACATAGAATTATTTGTTGCTGCCATTTATATGATTTTATTTTAGTTGATGCGGTTTATTGTCGATACCATCAACCCTCAGTTCTTTTATCGCCGTCTCTTACTTTACAAAAAGCTAGTGACATGGCTGCTGAATTCTCGGTAATCTTGTTTTATTAACTAACTCATTGTCAGAGGTTGAGTGTCAGACCTATTCGGTATATGAATAATTCGAGAAACATCCTATCATGGTGTAGTTATGACGTCAATACTATTTATTAGACATTTTTACAAGCTCATATTTATTGTTTGCCAGACAAGTTTGAATGACCAACTTTAACGACATGTAAATAGTTTGTGTACATGAGTATGGGCACATGCATATCTAGTCAGTGCAAGACTGGCAACTAATGTTTTTGCAAAATTGATTTCTCATTTTCGCTGAAAAAGCTCTGCTAGAAATCATAGTAAACAAATAAAACTTTGTACGCATGAATGAAGAGAACGAATCATACGGATAACTATGTAAATGTGATCCATTCAATAGGTTGATCTACTCAAAAGTTTCGCACACTTTCTCTACCTCACAAAGAATAAGATTTCATCGTTGTTTTACTAGTCGAACGAGATAAGTGTATCTTTTTTGTTATTTTAGAAACGAGATAGAGATTTTCTATCAGAACATAAAGCCCAATGCCAAAATTATCGAAATGATAGCGAAGAGATAAAAAAGAATAAAACTTATGGCATATTAGCATCGTATCATCCATGTGGAGTTGCAGTTGGCTTTACGGAAGCGATCAAAGCTGAGGGTACGTCAGTGTGAAAACTTTCAAAAAGAAACTACTAGCGATTCCGAAGTAGAATTCTTGCAAGTTTTGCAACATTCTGAATTAAGTTCTTATTTGAGATTTTCTCAAGGAAAATTCTGATTTATGATGTTCTTCTGAATAGGGATGCGATCGGTGACTCGTCACCTTTTACTCATGATCATTGGTGGTTGTCTTATGCCAGATGCACTCATGTACGACTGTGCTTGCACATTGAAGCTTCATTGGAACAAATGGCTAGGCACCGATATGCTGAAGACATCAACAATAACACAACAACTTCCAATCCATCTTGCTCTCGATAACTTTCATCCAAAGACACATTCCAGACCGATGTGCCAAACCATTATGAAATCTGATCACCCATCACATGAGGGACGATTTGTTGGCCTAAACAGTCAAGCAGCTGAACAGGCATTCCAATACATATCACGTGCAAAATTTGCACTACGCAATTTTTCATTCCCGCATTCAACAGTAATGCTATTGATCATGTTGCATCTGTTGAACTGTAAAATAACCGGCATCGACTCAGAAACAACCAGTTTGGGATCTTTATACTTTGGTGACATAATCAAGGGCTTTTTGCCACTCCATGCGTGTATGAACGCTTCGGCACGTTAAGTGGTGAAGAATTGAATAAAGACGAAGACGATGATGATCAGTCAGATCTGGATCATAGTGTTATGTCGGAAGATATAGGATAGTTTTATTTATATTATTCTCTCACAAATAATGTCGTATTGATCATCTGAAGATTTGTTTCCGGTATAACTAAAATTTCGTTTGTACATTGTTCTTTTCTTGATTTTATTTCACATTTGTTAACTAGAAATTGAAAATAAACATTAGGCTTGAACTGAAATATTAGATTGCTGACAAATTTGTTAAATGTATAATAATGCATTATAATGCATTATCAATGAATGATCCAATATTGACTGTTCATGTTTCAACAGTTTTCTACTGGCTAATCTGATTCACACATGCCTCATTGATCATATACGTTGGCGTTTGATAAATTTTTCGTTTCATTAAAAAAAATTTCTATGAATATACGATGTGAATGTGATTTTTCTGTAATAACATCACGTTAACAAAGAGCACTACATAATACAAGCCATACTGGATTGTGAAGAAAATAAGTAATTATTTGAACAATTT